CCTGCCCATCTCTTTAGCTCCTTCTCTCTCCTGAATAAAGAAAGCAGCTACTTATTTATCTCACTCCCCTTTCTAGTTTCTTGTTTGCTATTGGGTACTCCTAAGAACTACAAAGGTATACATAAGTTTTCAAGTTCTTTCTAGAAATGAGTCTTTGTAAGTGTGCGTGTGTAAGCATGTGTGTGGGCGCAGGTGTGGGCCTCCCAGTGGTGTGTGGGGACTCAGTCTGTTCTTCACTTTCCCTGAGTTTGCTTTTCAGTAAGTGTCCTTTAGCATCTGGATCTTTGTTAGCAGGTTACTTAGAGGTGGTCAGTGTTTAGAACGACAGATTCAAGTGAGGGTTGTCCTGCTTTTCCTCTTGCCCTGATGTTAGCTCTCTACAGTAGCCAATGATGTCCAAGGTCATAGTGAGAACAAAAATTAGCGGCATTAAGATGTTCCTGTTTATTGGGCTCCTCTGTGCTAGGCACTAGGCTAAACACTGTAAATGTAACATTGTGTCACATGGTCTATAATCTTATAGGAAGGTATGATCCTATTTTACAGATAGAGAAACTGAGGCTTGCAGAGGTTATGCAGTTAATGAGCAAGTCTTAGGTTCAAGCGCAACTGCCCTTAACAGCATGGCCACTGATGGCTTCTGACCTAGCATCTTTTGGATTTTGGCTGGCTAATTTTTTCTCTCCCTGAGCCACGGTATTGATGTTACCTTGCTGTCACTNTGGGGGCGGGAGAGAGAACAAGCCCATCATAAACACACGCCGCCGAGAATTGACATAGCAGAGAATGAATTTCTCCCTTCATTGGGTTGTTTTCCCCTTCATTTCCCTTTTAAAACATTAGAGCATATCAGATGAGCATTCCCTCCCTCAAGGACTGCTGAAATTGACATCTTGTGGTTTTTCATTCCTTTGTGTTGGTTGTTTAATTTTGATTTTGGGGAGGTGGATTGGGTAGTGGTATGGATAGTTAAGAGGTAAGAGAAAGTTTTATTTTTACACTTCATGCTAAATAGTAAAAGTAAATGAGGTTATGTGCTCTCTGGCCAAAGCTATCTTTTTTAGCACTTACAACACTGACCATTTTGCTGGTTCTCAACAAATAATCATAATAGCAATCGACACACATGGTGTGCATTATTTAGATCCAGCTTTAACTCCAGCATTTTGGCTGATGCAAACTTTCCAAATCAAGCGTTTTGCCAGAAGTGACAAACCTCCTTTTCCAGGGTGCAGCAGATGTTTATGGGGACGGATGGCCTCCTCTCCCTTCCCCGCCCTACCAGCTCTTGTCTGCCAGGCCAGTGTTTCCTTCGCTACTTCCCTCCTTTCTCCCGAAGCATAAACATCTCCCCCTGCACCCCAAGTTGTTTTGTTGTTTTTTATCCCCCTGCACCCAGTCTCAAATAACTCCTGTCTTTGAGAAGTCCTGGCTGGCCTGATAAGACAAGGGTGGCCTCCAGAGACTTCTCTTAAAAAGATTCAGCTTGTCCATTTATGTTTCTGAAAAGCCCTTGCACCTGTTAAAAGTTTCCCTGTGCAAACATACGTCAGAGAGTGTTTTCTTAGGCTTCAAGACTGTGTTTCTTGGCCAGAGAGAAGGTGTAGTCTACATACTTTATAATCTGAAATCTGAGGTAATCTTTGCATGATCAATAGCTTGTTGGTTTAGTTCAGCCACATCTTCAATATTGTCAACTTCAAGTAAATTCGTAGTTCAGCTCTATGTCATTTCCCCTGGGCTCCCCGATCTGTCCTACGTACCCTGTTTTTAGAGCAGGCAGTTTGGTCAGTCCTGCCCTGGCAAGAAGTTTAAGGGCAACCTAAGTGGCCAGTGAGACTGGGGAGAGCCAAGAAGTGAAGGGCAGCCTTTTCTTTGTGACCCTAGTGTCAGCTTCCAGAGAGATGGAAAAAGAAGACCAAATTCTGAACAGAGAGTGCAAACAAAAACGTGCATTTTCTTCCTGCTTCTTCGTGACCAGTGTTAGTTCCAGATGTTTGGAGCTNCAATATTGTCAACTTCAATTAAATTCGTAGTTCAGCTCTATGCCATTTCCCCTGGGCTCCCCGATCTGTCCTACGTACCCTGTTCTTAGAGCAGGCAGTTTGGTCAGTCCTGCCCTGGCAAGAAGTTTAAGGGCAACCCAAGTGGCCAGTGAGACTGGGGAGAGCCAAGAAGTGAAGGGCAGCCTTTCCTTTGTGGCCCTAGTGTCAGCTTCCAGAGAGCTGGAAAAAGAAGACCAAGTTCTGAACAGAGACTGCAAACAAAAAACGTGCATTTTCTTCCTGCTTCTTTGTGACCAGTGTTAGTTCCAGATGTTTGGAGCTGGAATCCTTGGTCATATTCAGAGAGAAATAGCACAGCATAGTCTAAGATTCTTTCCATGATAAGATAGAGATTCACATGTGCTTCTGTTTCAAGGGCTTCGACATATGAACCTTTTCTGGGAACCTTTAATTATTATATTCATCAGTCAGGAAAATGAACAGGCATGTTCTGAGATGATCATCTGAAGGCTTAAATGGTTGATTTCTTTTTATAAAAATCAAAACTGTTTGAGCGGATATTCTAAGCAATGGTGGGACTCAGTCATGGTCGCCTATGACCCTTGCTTGCATCCAAGTGTCAGTTTCGGCCTTTGATTAGTTTGTTGTTGTTTAGCCAAAGGCCCATACCAGGGAAGCAGGGATGTTCAGGGCCCGGGAAACAGCAGAGGGCAATGAGAAACCAAGCTAAGCATATACCACCAGGGCTGGCGTTGGACAGGACTGAGGCCACCAAAGATAGGAAAGGAGGAGGGGGAGAGGGGCTAGTGAGAAATTGTAAAGTGCCACAAAAAATGATTGAAGACTTCTCTTAAAAAGATTCAGCTTGTCCATTTATGTTTCTGAAAAGCCCTTGCACATGTTAAAAGTTTCCCTGTGCAAACATATGTCAGAGAGTGTTTTCTTAGGCTTCAAGACTGTGTTTCTTGGCCAGAGAGAAGGTGTAGTCTACATACTTTATAATCTGAAATCTGAGATAATCGTTGCATGATCAATAGCTTGTTGGTTTAGTTCAGCCACATCTTCAATATTGTCAACTTCAGCTTCGTCTGATGACTTTACTTAGATCGATGAGCTTGGTCTGATGATCTGTCCTATGTACCCTGTTCTTAGAGCAGGCAGTTTGGTCAGTCCTGCCCTGGCAAGAAGTTTAAGGGCAACCCAAGTGGCCAATGAGACTGGGGAGAGCCAAGAAGTGAAGGGCAGCCTTTCCTTTGTGGCCCTAGTGTCAGCTTCCAGAGAGCTGGAAAAAGAAGACCAAGTTCTGAACAGAGAGTGCAAACAAAAAACGTGGATTTTCTTCCTGCTTCTTCGTGACCAGTGTTAGTTCCAGATGTTTCGAGCTGGAATCCTTGGTCATATTCAGAGAGAAATAGCACAGCATAGTCTAAGATTCTTTCCATGATAAGATAGAGATTCACATGTGCTTTTGTTTCAAGGGCTTCGACATATGAACCTTTTCTGGGAACCTTTAATTGTTATATTCATCAGTCAGGAAAATGAAGAGGCATGTTCTGAGATGATCATCTGAAGGATTAAATGGTTGATTTCTTTTTATAAAAATCAAAACTGTTTGAGCGGATATTCTAAGCAATGGTGGGACTCAGTCATGGTTGCCTATGACCCTTGCTTGCATCCAAGTGTCAGTTTTGGCCTTTGATTAGTTTGTTGCTGTTTAATTAAAGGCCCATACCAGGGAAGCAGGGATGTTCAGGGCCCGGGAAACAGCAGAGGGCAATGAGGAACCAAGCTAAGCATATACCACCAGGGCTGGCGTTGGACAGAACTGAGGCCACCAAAGGTAGGAAAGGAGGAGGGGAAGAGGGGCTAGTGAGAAATTGTAAAGTGCCACAAAAAATGATTGTGTTGTATAACATTGAGTATACTAATTATCCTGATTTGAGCATCAGGTATTGCACACAGGGATTGATATTCCACACTGTATCCCACAGATATACGTACAATCAATTATGTTTCAATACAAATAAATAAAAGTCAAAGCCTCAGTATGAAGTAGTCTAGAGAGAGAGAGAAGCTGATAATTGAGAAAAGACTTGGTGCATTAAAGCCAGGCAGACTCTGCCAAAATAGCAACGTCAGCCCGACATTATGAAGAGAGTCCAGGAAGGAATGAACGAACACCTTTTAACGACTGAAAACTGGCAGCTTCTTTTACTGATTGGACATTGAAAAAATCACTTTAGTTTCCAGTCATTTTCGAAGCTGAGGCAGGGGTGCAGTATGTGAATTGAGGTGATAGAACAGCGGTGTTGACATCAGGAGGCAGAGCCTGCTGGATGTTTGGTGGTCTCCTCTTTGCTATGAAATCTCCTGAATACGGCGCCCTGCACGATGTGGATCTGTGTTCATGGTGTTCATTGCATTGAATGAATGAAGGGAAACACTCTGCCACTCTGTTGTTTCTGTGTAGGAGTTTGTCATCGACACGCCCTGCGAAAATGCTCAGAAGATGTATATTGGGAACGCGAAGCATGGGAATTACACGGTGGTCTTCGCCCAGCTCATCATAAATGGAAGATCTCAAGGTTTGTCATCGACACAGAAAACTAGAATAATTCTCTTTACTATTGCTATTTTCCAGTGAGTGCCTTATGCTGAAAACGCACTTCATGGGGCTGTTTTTATCTTGTAAAAAAATTCAGTACTAACTTTATCTTCTAAATATACACGATGATAACATTTATCATTACATTTTGACATACACTATTATGGACAGCACATAGTCATTGAACTGAATGAATTTTGGGATCAAAATAATTTTATACTGTTCAGGAATAAATGAGTAGAGCTTTATTTCTACATTCGAAAGGAGAGTTTAATAACTATCTCTGTGCCTTCCTCAGGACCCCACTGTTTCATTGTTCCTGTCCGGGATGAAAATGGAAGCTTGTACCCAGGAGTGACAGCTATTGATATGATGCACAAAGAAGGTGGGTCCCCAGGGGACCCCTCTCCTGTGCTCATTCACACCTCCTGTCTGCTCCCCACCCACCCACCTAAGCAGAATCTAACCTAACTTACCTCACTGAAGGCAGTGAAAGCAAATACAATGATTCCCAAAGAAGACTCCTTGTTTTTGAAGCCTAATTAAGAGTCTTTATGTAGAACTGTTCAAGAACCATTTACAAATGTGCACTAATCTCATTTTCTCCCAGCTTCTCTCATTTCCTAGTAATACAGCTTTGCCCTGGGTGCTCTTCCGTCTCCTCTCCCTTCTTGGACCTGCGGGCTCTCAGGTGCCGGCTGCAGCTGTCTTTACTGCATCTCAGTCACCAGCCTAGTGTTTGTGCTCACGAGGCCCTGGATGACTCAGTGTGTTAGTTTGCTAGGGCTGCTGCACCACTAACTGGGTGGCTTAAACAACAGACATTTATTGTCTCACAGTTCTGGAGACCAGAGGCCTGAGATCAAGGTGTCAGCCAGCAGGGTTGCTTCCTTCCAAGGGTGGTGAAGGAAGGCTCTGTTCCAGGACTCTCTCCTCGGCTTGTAAATGACCGTTTTCATGCTAACACGGAGCTCTCCCCATGTGCCTGTCTGTCTCCAACTTTCCCCTTCTTGTAAGGACACCAGTCATTTAGATTAGGGCCCAGCTTAATGTCCTCATTTTAACCTGATTACCTCTGTAAAGACTCTGTCTCCAAATAAGGTCATATTCACAGGTATGGGGGTTTGGACTTCAACATATGAATTTGTTGGGCGCACAGTTTGACCCATAACCCTTGGTGAGAACAGACCGTGCCTGTGGCCTTCATTGGCTGTCCTTGGCCAAGGTCAAGCTAAGTCAAAGAAAGAAGTCTGGAGAGAAGGAAAAAAGAAGAAAGAATGGGGAGAGAAGAGGGAACCAGGGATCCTTTGGTGGAGGTGGACCCACCATCAGGGTAGGGGACCATCCCTGCCCCTTAATGTTTACCGACCACTGCCCTGCCTGCAGGCATGGGCTGCAGGTGGGTTTTCAAGTGTTTTAAATGTATCTGAGACCTTGGCAGGCCCTGGACCCTTGCAAGCTCCTTGTGTGTTTAGTATGGCAGAGAGCAGACAGGGAGGCCAGGCTCTTGTGAAGTTGTGCCAGACGCTGGAAACACTGGCAGCAAACTGCAGAAAGTCTGCTTTGGTTTTCTTGTAAGCTCTTAAATGCAAGTGTGTCCTTGTCAAGGGGTAATGTTCTAAATAAAGGCATTTACTAAAGAAAGATCCTCCCCCACCCAGATTTGTGAATAAAAAATAGATTCCAGATTCTGACAGGTGTCTTTAGGAAATGGGTCTGGCAGATTTTGGAGACCCCCCGATTCTCGTGGCCATTTTCCCTTGTCTTGGGGCGTTTACTCTCACCAGTTCACCCTGTGTGCTGAGGGGGTGTGGATGGGGGAGGGGCTTCACATTCCTGGGGAGGGTAAGCTGGCTTTCCTGCCTTCTCTGTCTTTGGCTTTCCATTCTTTTGGTTGCCTAGAACTCTCCCTTTCTTAATCGTGGTCAGTGCCCAGGAGGTGGGTGCATCCCCACACCATCCCCAACCTGAGCCGCAGAGCATGAGGGCTACTACACAGGTTCTCCATCTGGTCAGGGAGAGGTGGGCCAAAGAAAGAGGCACAGCTCATCAAGAAAACAAACATCCCCACCCCCACCCCACCCCAAATAAAAAAAGCATCAACATTTCTAGAAGTAAAATGAAAGCATTTGCACTTTAGTGGAGAGAGGCCTGGGAAGCAGCAGGGACAACATTTCTGATGCTGCCTGGATCTCCCCTTGCAGCTGCGAATCATTTCGGTTCTCTGCAGGTCTACACGGTGTGGATAATGGGATTCTGATATTTGACAAGGTTCCCATACCGAGGGAGAAGCTGCTGGATAAGTGAGTAGTTTTTTCTTAACTTAGGTCGACTGTGCCGATAATCTCATTGCCCTCCCATGCTGGCCTGGTCCACGCAGTCTTCCCCTAACCAGCCTGACAAGTTTATTGACAACTAACTGGAAAATAAAGATAAGTGAAAAGAAAAAAATCAAAATGATCAAAAATGCTGTTGCCCAGACATGATGATTGTCGCACTCAATGTACGTCTCTCCACACTTTTCTCCATGCTGATAATCTAAAGAGATACACCTGATTTTCACCAAATGAGGTCCACTTATAGATTCTATTTTTTATAGTTCATAATTTCCATTTAACAATATATATCAAATGCTTATATGCAACAATAAACAAACTTATGCATTATCATTTTTTATAGCACCATAATAGACTGTAAAATAAACGGTCTACAAGTTATGTAATCAGTCTCTTATTATTGGTCATTTAGGTGTTTCTTTCTTTTTTGCTATTATAAACTGGTTAGTGCTATTGCCTCCTTTGTGGGTGGCAGCAGGTGAGGCACCACTTTTTGCTTCGGAAGCTGTCACAGCCACTACTGTTTGGATGGACAACTTCAGAGGAGCTGTGTTGTTTCCCAGCAACTCACAGTTGGATCAAGGTGGATTCTACAATGATGCACAGGTTGCTTTCTCAGGTGCAATCTGGGTGGAGCTCCAGGGTTAATGATGCTCTGTGCAGAGGCTTAGAAACTCCAGTTACCCTTAATTTTCTCAGCAGTGTTTCATGCATCCAGTAAAAGTCTTGAGCCACAGTCACATTTAAATCTGTGACAGGGCCAGCAGTCAGAGTCCATATACAACCTGCCATCTCCCTGCCTTCCTGTGGATTTTCCTTGAACACTTTACTCCTTTTTGTTGCTGCAAGTTTTTGCCAGAAGATAAATGTGTTAGTAGTACCAAAAGTTAAAAGAAAATTGTATGAGAAACAAGCTTAAAGTGGACCAAATTCTGTTTGTTAACATTTTCCCCTTGTTGATTGGTAGGAAATAAAATGGAAACAAAAAAAGCATCTTTGCAGTTATTCTGATGGGTGCTGGAGCCCCGCAGTCTCCCTCAGGAATAACCAGTGCCCTCGACAGCAGGTGTGAGGACTGCCAGTCCTCTCCAGAGGAGTCTGCACATTTCCTGGTCGTTTATCAGCATCACTCCACTCTGGGAGCTGGGGAAGAGGGAAGGAAAGCCACAGATGGGAGCTCCCCGTATCGCACCATCCTAGTGAGATCACAGCGGTCTGACCAGTCCTCTGCCAGAAGCTGGACCAGCTAGGTGAGCATTCATCCAATGCAGTAGAGAGCAGAAAGTCAGACTCGGTGAGAAAGAAAAATGATAGTGATCTACACTGTTTGTAGAAGATATGAATATATAGAGACTTTCTTCAATAAACAAGATTTGATTATAGTGTCACTCCGTGGGCATTCAAACGGCCCCCCAAATACTATAGTACAGCAATGGCAACACAAGCAGCCTGAGGTTAGAGCGAGAAGCCCTGCTTTGGGGGTGTTGGCTCCTCACTGGATAAAAAGTGGGCTAGTGTGTAGACGTACAGACTCAGTACAATCCCTGTCAAAATCTAAGCTTTTTTTTTTTTTTTTTTGGCAGAAATTGAGAAACTAATCCTAAAACTCATATGGAAATGCGAGATACCCAGAATAGCCAAAACAGTCTTGATGAAGAAGAGCAAAGTAGCAGGACTCACACTTGGTGATTTGAAGAATTATTATGAAGCTTCAGTAATCAAGACAGTGTGGTGTTTGCGTAAGGATAGACATGAGGGCACTCACAACTTCATGGAAAGATGCGTGTTATCTTTCAATTGTATTTTCCACGAACCTTTTTTTTTTTGGCAGCTGGCAGGTATTAGGATCCAAACCCTAGATACTGGTGTTACCAGCACCGTGGTCTAACCAATTGAGCTAACCATCCAGCCCCCTGAACCTTCTGAAGTACCCTCATGTAAGGGTGGTGCAATAGAATGAAGAGTCTAGAANTAGACGTACAGACTCAGTACAATCCCTGTCAAAATCTAAGCTTTTTTTTTTTTTTTTTTTGGCAGAAATTGAGAAACTAATCCTAAAATTCATATGGAAATGCGAGATACCCAGAATAGCCAAAACAGTCTTGATGAAGAAGAGCAAAGTAGCAGGACTCACACTTGTGATTTGAAAAATTATTATGAAGCTTCAGTAATCAAGACAGTGTGGTGTTTGCGTAAGGATAGACATGAGGGCACTTCACAACTTCATGGAAAGATGCGTGTTATCTTTCAATTGTATTTTCCACGAACCTTTTTTTTTTTGGCAGCTGGCAGGTATTAGGATCCAAACCATAGATCTTGGTGTTACCAGCACCGTGGTCTAACCAATTGAGCTAACCAGCCAGCCCCCTAAACCTTCTGAAGTACCCTCATGTAAGGGTGGTGCAAATAGAATGAAGAGTCTAGAAAGAAATCTTCAGATTTATAGTCAATTAATATTTAACTAGACAATTGCCAAGACAATTCACTGGCGGAAAGAATAATCTTTTCAACAAATGGTAGTGGGACAACTGGTTATCCACGTGCAGTGGGTCACAGACATAAATGTAAGAGCTAGAACTATAAAACTCTCCAAAGAAAACCTGGTATAAATATTTGTGACCCGGTTTAGGCAATGATTTATTAGATTTGACACCAAAAGCACAACCAGCCAAAGAAAAAAATAGATAAGTTGGGCTTCATCAAAATTAAAAAACATTTGTGCATCAAAGTACACTATGAAGAAAGTGAAGATTAATCCTCAGAATGGGAGAAAATATTTGTAAGTCATGTATATCATAAAGAGGTAGTATCCAGAATATAAAAAGAGCTATTATAGCTCAACAATACATAAAAAGACAACCAATGAAAAAATGGGCAAAAATCTGAATAGACATTTCTCCAAAGAAGATATACAGTGGCTAATACGCACATGCAGATGTTCAGCATCGTTGTCATTAGGAAGATACAAATCAAAGTCACACTGAAATACCCTCTGCACCCACTAGGATGCCTGTCGTGCAGGAGACAGACAATAACAAGTGCTGGTGAGGGTGTGGGGAAATTAGAACCGTCATACACTGCTGGTGAGGATGTAAAATGGTGTCAACAATTTGGAAAACAGTTTGGCAGTTCCTCAAAAGATTTTTCCTTTTTTTTTTTTTAAATTGAAACATATTGATTATACATATTTGTGTGGTACAGAGTTGAATGTCAACACATGTATACAATGTGTGATGATCAAATCAGGGTAATTAGCATATTGATCATTACAAAACTTAATCATTTCTTTGTGATGAGGACATTTGATCTCTCTTCTAGCCATTTGATAACACAGTGTAAACTATTGTTAATTATAGATGCCTAGTATGACTGTACAGCATAGAATTTACTTTTCCTGTCTAGCTGTTTTGTGTCCATTAACCAACCTCTCACTATCCCCTGTCCCCACCCCTTTCCCACCTCTGGTGACCACAGTTCTGCTCACTACTTCTGAAAGCTCAACTAAGCTCAACTAAGTTCTTTCTTTCCATTCCCCCCTCCCCCCCACTCGCTTCCTTCCTCAAAAGTTTAAAGTTATCATATGACCCAGCAATTTTCCTCCTAGGTATGAAACATAAGAGAATCAAAACCGTATGTCCACACAAAAACTTGTACACAAATGTTCATAGCATAATTATTAATAATAGCCAATAAGTGGAAACAACCCAAATATCCATGAATTGATGAATGGATAAGCAAAATATGACATATCCCTACAATGGAATATTATTCAGCCATAAAAAGAAATAAATGCTGATACATGCTACAGCATAGAAGAACCTTGAAAACAGGGTGCTCAGTGAAATAAGCCAGACAGAAAGAGCACATATGTTATTCCAGCTATGTGAAATGTCCAGAATAGGCAAATCCATAGAGATAGAAAGTGGGTTAATGGTTGCCAGGGGCTGGAGGGTGTCAGGCATGGGGAGTGACTGCTAAAGGTACAGGTTTCTTCCTGGGGTGATGCAATGTTTTGGAGTCAGATAGTGGTGATGGCTGCACAACTTTGTGAACATACTAAAACCCATTGAACTGCACATTTTAAAGGGGTGAATTTTATGGTATGTGAATTGTATATTAATCTTTAATAAGTGTGCCAGTGTGCGGTTTGCACACTCAGGCTCTGGTACTGGTTTAATGATGTCGGTCCTCCCGCTTCCCTCTCGTGCTGAGCCTTAAGCTGATAGTGACAGGAAACTTGCTCTTACTTTGCATGAGTCGAACCTTTCTCAGAATCCTTAGGGAGGCACTCCCCAGCCCTTACTCTGCTCTCTGTCACACGGGGGAGGTTCCAGGATGCGGAAAACTGTGCGCTTCCCTGGGTTTGCCTGTGGGAGCCTCCTGACTTCATGTCTAGTGGTGCAATGTCCTCCTCTTTGTAAACCCCACCTCTCTTTCCATCCTGCCTCTCCCCCACCACAGGTTTGGTTCCGTGAGTCCCGACGGACAATACTGTTCACCTATTAAGAACAAGAGTGTAAGATTCAATGTGATGCTGGCTGTGCTGACCCCTTCAAGATTAGCTGTGACTTCCCAAGCTATGGGCACCATGAAGGTAGCTGACTCTGTTGTTAATGTACCTCGCTGTTTATTCTCTACATGATCCAGGGATGGGTCTCAATTTCAAGGAGCTGAGCTTCTCAA